AAAAAAAAAAAAAAAAAAAAAAAAAAAAAAAAAAAAAAAAAATTCAATGAAAGAATAAGAACATTAGAACAAACTGAAAATAATAGCAAAAAACACTTAAAGAAAGCACAATCTAATGAATGTATATCCTATCCAAAAATACAATGGTACAAGCTATGTAAGTAAATTCAGTTAAAGTACACAGAAAAATCAAAGCTGGAAATATAATCAAGAGACATCCTAAGTCAGTCAACAAGCACACAGTAAACGTGCTCCTTACTTCACTGAACAGCAGAGGCAACCATTTCTAAGTTCCAGCCATTCTTCATAGAGTTCTCCTCCTTGACTGATAGATAAGGATTTCTCTACTGCACTTCCTAGAAACAGAAACAGGCAGCCTTTAGATTATGTTCACTAGCCAAGCAGAAACAAGAGGAAGATGTTTAGAAACAGAGTAGATTCCAATGCAGAAACTATAGCTTAGAACATGTACTCTTTCATAACTCTAAATCAATCACAAAACTTCAAATTCTATTAACAGCTTACAAGTCTCAAGAATATAGATGACTCTTCAGTGATGCAAGCCAGAATCTCTCTTCTTTTGAACAACAAAAAGTAAACCTAAAGTCAGTATTTAATTCAGTAAATTCTCAAATTATGGTACTCTAGAAGATTTTCACTTTTCTCTCTGTTAAGATTTAAATAAGCCAGGCATGGTGTACACCTGCAACCCCAACACTTGGGAGCCTGAGGCAGAAGGATCTAAGATACAACTGGGCAATTTCCAGATCAGCCTGGGCTACACAGTGAGACCTTATCTAAAAAATGTAAATAAACAAGGGCTGAACAGACTGGGTAGTGGTTAAAAGTATTTGCTGCTCTTGCAGAACACCAGAGTTCAGTTCTAGTACACACACACCGCACATTAGATAGGATAGCTGAAAACTACCTATAACTCCAGCTCCAGAGGATTCAAGGTCCATTTCTAGCCTCCAAAGAGCCTCCATACACACACACACACACACACACACACACACACACACACACAAAATAAATAAATAAATAAATAAAAAAATAAAAACTTTAACAACTAGGGGCTGAAGAGATGCTCAAAGGTTAAGAACACTTGTTGCTCTTGCAGAGGACCTGGATTCTCAGCACCCACATGGCAGCTAACAACTGGCTATAATTCCAGTTCCAGGGGATCCAACACCCTCTTCTCCAGTCACCAGGCATTCCTGTGGTATATAAACATACATGCAGGCAAAACACTTATATACCTAAAATATTTATAAAATATTAAATAAATAATTTAAGTTCTAAGAAGACAAATCCAAAATTAATAACTACATCTCCTTCCTCCAGACGCTAACTTGTCTAATTCTATCTCTTAACCGAGGAACTGTTAAAAAAATATTTTTTCTTCTTATCCATTGAAAACTTTCTAAATATACTGATATGCTTTTTAAATACTGGGTTTCATATGTTCTTCAACCTCCTATGAGATTGTTTTCCTTTTAATTCCTCACTAAGTTGGTGGTTTCTGTTCTAAGGTTACACAGGATTCTAAATATATATAAAAACACTACTTCATTCTGACAAAGGTTTTTAGCCAAAGTATCATGTAATCACTTAAAAAATTAGACTTTTATTCAAATGAAAAAGTCTCTTAGTAAAGTTTACCTGGGAAATAAGTATACATGAGATGTGTATCATAAGAATGATTTTAGATGTTTTACATATAATGGAACAATGCCCCAAAAAAGTTTCAAATAGAAAAAAATTTTTCATTTTTCATCTATGTATTTTCTGTTCATATTTCAGTTGGGTGATGGTAGAGTATCACATAATACTAGGCTATATAAAACATTAAAAAATACTGAGGATGTTGCAAAAGGCAAAACCATACAAAATGAAGAAAACCAGTAAGAAATAATAAATATAACTAATGTACAAGAAAATACCTATTAATAAAAAGCTTGAAAAGGACTATTAGAAATCTTCCAGCCAGGTGCTGGTGGCGCACGCCTTTAATCCCAGCACTTGGGAGACAGAGCCAAGCAGATATCTGTGAGTTCAAGGGCAGCCTGGGCTAGAGTGAGATCCAGGACAGGCACCAAAACTATACGGAAAAACTGTGTCTCGAAAAAACAAAGAAATCTTCCAATTATTAATGGCTAAAAGCATAGCTCAGAGAGAGACTAGAGTGAGAACTTTCTTAGCATACAGGAAACCTTACACCACAATCCATCAATCCATCCATCCATCAATCAGTCTCTTTAAATGTACTTTACTTATTATGTATGGAGGAAGGGCTTGTGTTTGATGTGGACAGACTGTATGCAGAGGTCAAACTTTTGGGAGGTGGTTCTCGACTGGCTGAGGCAGGGTCTCTCTTGTTGCCTTTTGTCACTATACTGCATACATACTCCAGGCTAGCTCCCACTGCACTGCATACTCCAGGCTAGCTCCCACTGCACTGCACACTCCAGGCTAGCTTCCATTACACTGCATACTCCAGGCTAGCTTCCATTACACTGCATACTCCAGGCTAGCTTCCACTACACTGCATACATACTCCAGGCTAGCTCCCACTGCACTGTATACTCCAGGCTAGCTTCCACTGCACTGCACTGCACACTCCAGGCTAGCTTCCACTGCACTGTACACTCCAGGCTAGCTTCCACTACACTGCATACATACTCCAGGCTAGCTTCCACTGTACTGCATACATACTCCAGGCTAGCTTCCACT